ACATCGACGATGTTCTATGCTAAAATTAAATCCTTAAAGTTTGAGTGCCCACCTAGCAAGTCTTCCTTGAAGGTCTTGCTGCGTCATGAGCCATCGGAGACTTGCATGATCAGTCACAACAGTAAATTCATGACCCTCAATATACATTCGAAATCCTTTAATAGCTAAAACTACTGCTAAGCATTCAAGTTCCGTAGTAGAGTAATTCCTTTGAGATCTATTAAGCTTCTTAAACATATATGTAATAGGGCGTTCTATTCCGTTTTCATCACATTGAGCTAGAAGCGCTCCCACACCATTGATCGAGGCATCACACTGCACTATAAACGGTTTTTCGTAATTAGGATGTCCTAATAATGGAGCAGTGGTCAGAGCCTTTTTCAATTGTTCAAAAGAAACTTGGGCGTTATCATTCCAGTGAAATTCTTTTCCTCGCAACAACTCGGTTAGGTGGAAGGTTTGTTCCGAATATTGGTTAATAAACCGTTGATACCAACCGGTCATCCCGAGGAATCTCTTAAGTTGACGTTTAGTTTTTGGAACAGGAAAGTTGGACACGGCGGTTACTTTATTGGGATTCACTTGCAAAGTTCCCTCTCCAACAATGTACCCTAAGTAGTCGATTTTCTTTAAGCAAAACTGACTTTTGGCGATATTAATAGTAAGACCTGACTTTCGAAGTTGCGAAGCGACTTCGGCCAGATGAGAAAGATGCTCTTCGAAACTTGAAGACATGACTAATAGGTCATCTAAATATACCATCACGTGTGATTTCATTCTATAAGGTATTACTTTATCCATAAGTCTACAAAGTGTTTGCGGAGCATTAGTTAGTCCGAAAGGCATTCGTGTAAATTGATATAAAGGACGGTTGGGTATAGTTATTGCGGTTTTTGGTTTCGATTCTTCGTCTAGACATATCTGCCAAAACGCATCTTTTAAATCAATTTTCGATATGCAGTTTACTGGAGGTAAGCGACTTAGTAAACCTTCAATAAGAGGAGTAGGATAAGCATCCTTTACTGTAACAGAATTAAGCTTCCTAGAATCTAAGCAAATTCTCACTTTGCCTGGTTTTACGACCAAGACTGCCGGAGAAGACCATGAGGACGCGGGCGCTTCTTCTAGTACTCCCAGACTAATCATGCGGTCTATTTCTTGGCATAACTGAAGCTCTTTGGCTGGAGATAGGTTGTAATATCTTTGCTTAATTGCTTTTGCTGCACCGGTGTCAATATGATGTTCAATTAGGGTTGTTTTACCTAAACCACTTTTTTCAGACGATGGAAAGAATTCGATAACAGCTTGTAATCGGTTTCGGTCGGTTGCATTAAGCAAGACTGTGTCACTTAAATCATTGGAGTCAGAAATTTCGGAAATAGTCGTTGGACTGGATATTCGAAGACCAAATAGTTTCCAAAAATCCATTCCGCAGATTATATCTTGTTAAATACTGGGTACTATTAAAAATTCTACATCCTGAGATACGGAGTTATAGTGAATCGGAACGACAATGGTAGCGGTGACGTTTTGATTTTGTCCGTCGGCTGCACGAACATAACATTTTAGCTTCCTTAACCCTGGATGATCTGTAGGAATAAGCTTAGCCAATTTACCACCTACTACGCATTTGTTAGCTCCACTATCAAGCAAGGCCAAGAAGGTTTTGTTAAATAATTCCAAAGCGATGTAAGGACGGTTGTCATTGTCCTGCCTAACAATAGTGGATACGACATATTTCTTCATTTTTCGCTGCTGTTTCCAAAATGAACACATTCGATTAGCCGATCGAGATTTGTTGGCGGAATTAATTCGTAGTGTAAATATTTCCGCTCTGCGTTGATAATAGTTACGTACTCTTTCATGGTAGGGGATAATTTTAAAGTTTCATGAGGGCTCTGTAGTGTTTTTAATTAACATACAGTTGGGTTTGTCTAATTCTGGGTTATATGTTGTCGAGTCAGGTTGAGAGTTACTTAAATTAGAAGATGGAAGATGATTAATACCTCCTATTGATGCTGAGTTTGAAACAGGATATCCACCAGTCAGAATTAACGGACAGGCTCTTACGAGTTTTCCGAGGGGGGTTTACATTTCAAGCAACTAGGCTTATAAGTGTCAAGACGACCACACCCATAGCAAAATATGCGTCTGGCTTTGAGGCAATCATGATATCTGTGTCCGGCTTTCTCACAATTCCAACATTTATAACGCTCAGCATTGCGCATCGCATTTATTTCTACGTCGTTCAATGTTTGATAATTATCTTCTTCCCTAGGCTCTTCAACCTGCACTAACTCATTTACAAATCGCCGGTTTGGAAGACGCCGGGCTGCCGGTCTACCTGCCATGCTAATGAGAAATCGTTCGCGTTTGTGGCACTCTGCTCTTAAGGAGGCAATGTTTGGGGTCAAAACATGTAATAATTCTAGTCGTAATTCAGGTTTAAGGTTCTTTTTAACGTTGGTAACTTCACTGTCGGACATAGGCTCACGCAAAGCATCTGTAATCGTTAGGATGGCATCTAGAAAATCGTCAAAATTTTCTCCGCTTTTCTGCTTCCTATGTCGAAGAGAGTCTTTAATCTCTTCGTCAGTGCGCTGTTCTCTATACCGTTCACGGAGACTTGTACACAGGTGAAACCAATTCGGTTCACTTGAAGTTCTCTGGAAACGCCAGTAAAATTGTAAAGCTGGTATAGCAAATTCCAGTTTGCGTTTAGACATTGTATAGTCAAACTATTTATCCTATAGATGAAGTCTTCAACAGGCATGTCATTTGCCATGCCAGTAAATTTCACATTCCAATTTGAAATAACGCTTGAAACTTTGTCAGGACGATATACGGCTTGTGTCAAAGGATCACCTGAAGGCAATCGTATACTAGAGCCTTGATTACTATCAACTCTGCTTGCATTGGATCGATTTAAGTTACCAGGATTTTCTACGGGATATTATTTCGCAGATTTTGGGAATTATTAGCCAACTGAAGGTTTCGCATCGTATTACTGATCTCATCCGCTACTGCTGCAACCATGCTAACGCGAAAGGTTTCTAAGGAGTCTGTGATAACTGCTGTACTCGAGTTTCGGAAATGCTAGAACGTTCAGTTGATCTATGTGCTGAGTTTTGGCTTCTCAAGCTAGAGTGTGCTCTCTGATTCGTTGAGTTCTGATGGGAATTCGCTCTTGTGTTTGGTCTAGTTCGGTTAACGGCACCAGTAGCTTGATTGGCAGAAGCACCTCGAACTTCCCTATTAGTATCATTAGTAGACCTATTCGGTTGAGCAGCAGGAAAGGTTATCAGTTGTACCAGGGTACAAGCACTTCGGCAAAGCGGACAAGTTCCATTAGTTCCTAACCACAGTACCACGCATGTTCTGTGAAATTTATGTCTACAAGGGGTTTCTGCAAGTTCAGTATCTATTACCATAGTATCATTGCAAATAATACAAAGAGAACGTTCAGTTCACTATCGGTGACTGCAACCTCGTCTCGATTAGGCTGAACTGACATGTTGTAGTATTATAATAATTTCTCAAATATTGTAAATATAAAAAACTCTGATTTAAAATTGGGACTATCCTTTAGTTACCGTGCATAAATGAATATTAATATAAAAGTAGGGTTTTGTTGAGCAAAAGACTTTTAATATTAGGAAGCAAGTGCAGTAGTGAGTGTCTTTCCAAAAACTATTCAGCTAAACAAATCTCAAAGCAGTAATAACTTAATGTTTGGTCTCTAAAAATATAATCATGAGTACTTGCTAGAAATTTCCAACAAATTAAATCTCTAATGACTTTTCTTAGGTGTATCAAATGTGATTAATAAAAGAATAATGTTGCTTGGTGCGAATTCGAGCTTTTCCCCAAATCTCACATTCCGAAGCAATTCATTTATTGTTGATCTGGGAATTAGGATTGAGCGATAACATAATCTAGGTTCAGCACCTGCAAGAACGCGCGATGTCTGAATTCCAAAGTATCACATTAAGGCTCAAATTAGGAAACTATACAAAAAAAATTGGATTTTACTTTAGAATATTGCATTGGGTAGCGACACGAAAAATTAACTCTGTTATCTACTCAAGATACGGTATTTTCCTGATTTCCGATCGCCCCACGTTGGGCGCCAAAGAATATGTAACGAACACGGCAATGTGTGCGGCTATCTGGCAGGGTACTCTGCCTACAGGGTCGGCTGTGCTCAGGGAAAATGGGAGTGGGGTTTTGCTACCTAAAGAGCCGCGCCGTCACATAAACTTAAATAGTAGACAGAGTAGGGAACTATTGAATAACTAAACCAAAGCTCAAAGAATCTAATTTTATACTAAGTGTGAGGAATTGCAGATGTCCTTTAATTCCTCTTCAAAAACCCACCCAACCTTGCATAGGCTCGCTTTGCGTATGTGGCCAATGCCCTTATTACTGATGCACAGTTACTTCAGGTGTCCCAATTCGCAAACAAATTCACTTCATTTTATACTTCATTCTCAAATACGTACCAAAATTCAATTAAAGATAAGTTGCCCATGGCGGCTGCTTATGATTTTCTTAACGTTAGCTTGCCCATGGCAGATTAACCATATAATGGGTACAAATGACTTCATTTATGTTCTTCATTCAAAAATTTACGTTAACAATTAAGTTTTAAAAAGAAAAAAAGGTAGTCTCGATGTTAACAGACGGTCGGCTATGCCGTACTTACAACATGAATACTTTAAATCTGTTTCCAGTGCAGTCGACAGGCCTGTGGACGGTGTGAGTAAACGAGGATGTGTGTATGCTGAGTGAACTACAAAATATTATTAGTTAACAGTCAATCTAAGTCCAAATATACATACTGTACCCGTGTAATAAGCTTAATTTCTATAAAATTTAAATCTATTCTAAAAACTACAAAAGCGGTGCAACAGTCAGATCGGCTGCCGAGATCGGGAGTGAATCCTTAGCTGCGAGCGGCATTTCAACAGCTGAACAGAGTCCGGTGTCTGCTTATCCGCGATACGCTCGTGTTGGACGTGTCGATGGCTAACCATCAGTCCGGGGTTAGGTTACTCGCAACTGGTCAGGAGAATATGGCGAACAACACGTGTATCAATCTAGGAACGGCAAACATAATAACTAACTGGTCAAGGCTGGGTTTACTTTTATTTACCTTAAGTTTTCCTTCGTCTTACAACGGTTGGAAAGCTTGGCTCGAAACTTAAATTTGCACTGGTAAACTGTATGTGGCTCGGCTCGAGTAGTCCCGCTCCACGTGTTGGCAGCCAGAGTGGGCCAAAACGAGCACCAGGCGATTTGATCAAATAGCGCTGCGCACTCCTACTTTCGTTTATCCATTAGTACACAATTATTGAAAAATATTAAATTCCATATGCTCACCTAATTAGTTTTTCAACTATAAGTTGGATGTTGCGATCGGTGCCAGCTAAATTACGCCAGCCACTTTGGGCGTTTGGAAATAGCTTTGTGGTGGTTTACTTATTAGTCTTTTGTCTTGTTGGGCGGTTATTAAGCCCGATATGGTGCATATATATATACACACGTGGACTTAGCACTTCTTTGCAAAATTCGATTTGATTTAAAACGCGTGTGCTTTGGCCGAAAGATCAGAAATAAGAGAACGAAAAAACGCAAATGGCGGGTGCAAGCCCTCTGACAAGCAGTGTTAGAAAATACGAAATTATCGTTTAGTATTTTCTAGGATGTGTGGTTGCCACCAGGTTGCGGAACCAGTAGCGCTATTTTATATTTTAAAAAAATACAAGAATCTTTTCCTAATAATTTCACACCCCTACAAATTGGGGCGTGTTTAACCTCCAACAAAAATTTCACTACAGGTATTTTTTTAAAATTCCGGGTGGAAAACCCAGCCAGTGCTGCCACAAGTTGCCGCCAAAGACGCATCTTATTGATTCGGCCAATTTACTGGAGGATTTACCTCAAGCAAAATCAAATCTCGGGGCTCAATCGTCAGGTATGGTTTTTTGAGACACACATGTCGCCATATCTGTAATTATTTTGAATGCCCAATAGTCAGGTTGGCCCGCGAGGAATGATTTGGAGAGATTAGTGCCCTGAAGTACTATCTACCTATCTACGGGTCATGTAGTGCCGACCAAGAAGAGCAGTTTATATAAAGAGGACCGATGGCAGTTTCAATTATATAACCTGTTCCGATGCCCATCATGCCGCGCATCCATAGACCAGCCGGAATATCGCTGCCGCAGATTTAGTGATTTTTACCCGTTTATGTTGTAAAAGCGCCGCGTGTGTGAACGGCCTTAACCTAGCATGGCACACTAGCCAACTGGGCTTAACCTTAATGGAGATAAAAACTCTCTTTCGTATTGGATCAGTCCTAACCCTGTTATATAACCAACGCGCTTTCAAAAGCCGAATTTAAGAATTAATGTGAAAAGAAAATCAATGAAATCAAAGATATGTAAACCATAAAGCAAACAATAATTTTTCGTAAAGCCTCAAGTGGCAACGCCATGTAAAGCGATAGTTATATTTGACAAATTGAAAGAAAATAACCAGTCACTCGGGCTAAAAGAGATAATGCACGCCGAGAAGCATTAATTTAATTTAAGAAGAGCTAGATTTTTTTTTAGTTTTAAATGAAAATTTGTTATTGTAAAGCATTCAAGGAAGTACGTTGAATTAGGTACGGGTTACAAGTCTAGTTTAAACCGTTCGCGCGTCTAAGAGAAATGAGAGAAATGTTTATTTGCCCTTTAAATTCTACATGGCGAGAAATATCGCTACAATTAACATTACAGCCAACCCATCCCGTCCGGAGATCGATCTTCAACGTTGGAGGAAATGTCGTGAGTCACACTAACTAATCACATATTTATTACTTTATTCCCATTTCTCGCCGACCCGTAAAGTGAACGAAACTTATTTAAACATAAACCCCGATCTAAAAACAATTTATTAATTAAAATACCTTTTGTTATTTGCATTCGTTATGAATTAATTTGCGATTTTCAAAAGAAGTTTAATATAAATTACGATCGCCTACTATTAAATCTTAAAGTCTCTAATTGTCTGAATACATGAATTGATAAATTTAAAAAGTCCCTTGAAGAAGTATTTTTAAACTAAAAAAAAATAATACAGAATACCTAGAACTATCGGAAAACTATTTCTTTAAGCTAAAATTTATATTTAGTAAAATACATTGTTATATCATGAATAATTTCTTCCTATGCCTTATTTTTTTAAATACCCTATGTTCTTTTTATAAATATTAAATATGACTTGTATCGCTATCCACGGAATATTAATTACCTTTTCGAACAGGAATAAAACCATGGATCGATAAATAACATTGAACTGAACTAAGCTGATGATTTCTCGATCGTAGGGTATCAAAGGGGTCACCGAAGCCATGCTTTAAGGTGGTGATCATAGGTTGGATTCGCATAGCTAACTTTCTCCAAAACTTTTCTGTCCCTATAATACTTATTCCTGAATTTATTTATCGTTCTCTTCCGGTTTTAGTTTACTATCCTCTCTTGTCGCTAGCACGCTTATTTCTGATCTTAGTGATAATAATGTCAGTACGCGAATCTGTAGGCGCAAGACCTCCACCCCCAAAGCCGACGAGCGAGTGCCGGACCCTAATAGCGTGCCCCGCAACTGCAGATTCCCGATTTCATCCACAGCATCCAACCGTTACACGCTACAAATCCCCTGATGAGCAAAGAGGACGAGACTTAAGTAAGGCTTCAATCTGTATTAAAACTGTAGACAATTCCTTGATTCCATTATCCTTTTCTTATGTAGCTTGATGGACCGAACTTCGGCTTCCCATATTCCCCCGAAATGCGGGGCAGAAGTCGGAATAAAGTGCCTCAGGATTCCTACGTTGGATAAGAAGTTTGCTAAATTCTCATCATTGCGTTGCTCCATGGCTAGCAGCCGCATTTCGTCGAGTACTCGTTTGCTGCCATGAAGGGTGGTACCGTTGTTTGAGTAGAGATCAGTTGGTTTGGATCGCCGAGCAATGAATCGTTGGAAAGCCGCAATAAAGGCCTTGGTTGTTAAATCGGTGACTGCTCGACTGACTCGATTGAAATTGAAATTGGCCCGGCATAATCCAAGCCGGTATGTTGAAAGCAACGGCTGGCTTGAACACGAGGTACAGGTAGCTCTCTTATGATCTGGCTACTTGTGCTCCTGCGTTGGAGGAAACAGCGCTTACATTGCAAGACAGTCTTTCGGACGATATTTCGTTCACCCAAGATCCAGTACTGTTGTCAAAGATTTGTGAAAGGGGCGTCCACTCCAGTGTGAAGATTCGTCACATGAGAATGTCGTAGCAGGAGCTCGGCGATTGGAGAACTCTTTGGAATTATAACCGGGTGCTTGGCGTTGTAGTTAATGGTCGACCTCTCGATTCGTCCGCCAACTTGCATTAGTGCGTCCTTATCAAGAAATCCGTCCGTTTTCCAGCTGCGTACATTCTCTTTTAAAGGCCCTTTGTTTGATGTGACGAAGAAGTTGGTCTCGAGCTGCCTGCAGTTCCGTTTAAGTTAGGTACTCAGAATAAGGCCTGTGCTGCAAGCACAGACGATGAATAAGGCAATAACAATAGCTAGTTACTCTTATGAGCCGAGTCCAGGATGAGATCTTATTGATCAGCAACTCGTCGATACTTTCGTCACTAAAGCTATGTTGAGTTGTTGGCTTGGCTGGACGTTCCTCTGCTCTGACTTTCAAATTTGTATTATCTCGGAACTTGCTAGTAGATAGTAGGTCATTCGTATTGTGGCAAGGCCATCAAGGATGGGCCTTTCCGTTCGTGGTCAAGAAGCTTAGATGGGTGAAGTCCCTGGATGCGCAGTCGGCGGGATTATCCTCGGATCGGACATGGCTCCAGCAGCTACGGTGGTATTCGCTCAGTATTTCAGCCGTTCTGTTGCAGACGTATGTGTTTCAACTCAAACTTTCTTGGAAGATGAGCTTGAGAAGCACGGTGGTAGGCGTTGGATCTTGGAATGTTGCGATAACAGTTATCGTTTCGTGGGGACAATGCTGAGATCGAATTCCGTAGGTTTGACGAACATTACATCTCGACCAAGGGCCTTGACGGGCGACTCCATGGGTGAAGCTTTGAGCTGAGCTGTACTGGGTCATAACATCGATCATCTTCAGATAATGATTGCAGAAGGTTCCAGCAGTTAGAGCTCCATTTCCGTAGTTTGAAATTCGTTTTCCTAAGAGTCCAATCAGCTCCGTCTTTAGAACTGAAAGATCTTCTACCGAATCGCATCCAGTTGGGATATCGTCCACATAAGCATCACGAGATAATGCTTGTGATGAGGCCGGGTACTCGAGGCGATGATCGCCAGCTAGTTGCTTTAAAACTCGAACGGTCAGAAATGGAGAGGGTGCTAAGTCGTACGTGACTGTTAACAGCCGAAAATGAAGCATAGGTTCATTCTCATTTTTGAGCCACAGAAAACGTTGAAAATTGGTGTGACGCCTGGAAACTTGAATCCCTCTAAACATCTTTTCAATATCTGCACATAGAACATATCGGTGCTGCTGGAAACGTAGGCAAGCCCCGCTGAATCGGTTGCCCAATATGAAGTCTGTAGTTTAAGGAGATTCCAGAACTGTCTTTCCCAGATCCATCCAAGACCACCCGACATTTGGTCGTCAGGCTATCCTGCTTGATGACAGCGTGGTGCGGTAGATAAACGCAAGTGTCAGGGTCGTCCATTACTTTGGCTGATGTCAGTTGTTCCATATGACCGCGTTGCAAGTAGTCATATAAAAACTCCTCGTATTGATTTTTGAGTTCCGGATGTCGACGAAACCGACGCTCCAATGAGACTAGGTGGTTGGTAGCCTGGGGAAGAGTTGAGTCGATAGGCGGGGTTCCATCCTTAAAGGGATACTCGACGATATAGACTCCGTCTTCGGGAGTGTTTGCCAAATGACTCTCTGTGGGATCACTGGAGTCCAAGAGAGACTGGTTAGGTTGCACATTGTCCATTTCCATGAACGATCGAACTATCGTGTCGAGATCTGCCTGATGGGTGCCGGCCGGAGTGATGTGGTCGTCGCAGGCAGTGTACGAGCGTGCAATAATCCAACCAAAAATTGTATTGAGAGCGATGGGATAGTCCTTACCAAAATATTTTCTTTCTCCGGTATATAGAGACCATAGTTGATCAGATCCAACGATGACATCTAAAGATCCAGGAAGTGCTGAAATTTACTTCTAGGTTGAGGATGATGTGTCAATAGTTTGCGTTGGAAGCGATGACGTCAGCGAGGACAAAGTGAAGGAGTCCGTCTCAATGATATGATCCGAATGCCGAGAGCGCAGCTTAAAGTGTGCGCGCCCTCGAGTATGACCGGCGTTGTTTGCGACCGGACCAAGAATTAAATTTCGTGCATGCGTTCGATGTACGCCAATCCGCTGAACAAATAATTTCGATGCCAAAGTAATGGATGATCCCGTGTC